GAGGGCACCTGGGTGGCTCAGTTGGTTAAGCGACTGCCTTCGGCTCAGGTCATGATCCTGGAGTCCCTGGATCAAGTCCCGCATAGGGCTCCCTGCTCGGCAGGGAGTCTGCTTCTCCCTCTGACCCTCCCCCCTCTCATGTGTTCTCTCTCATTCTCTCTCTCTCAAATAAATAAATAAAATCTTTAAAAAAAACCCAAAAAAACCGCACATGAGTATTTACAGCACCATTACTCATAACAGCCAAAAGATGGAAACACAAATGTCTTATCAGTGGATGAATGGATAAACAAAATGTGATTTATCCAAAAAAATGGACTATTATTCATCCATAAAAAAGGTATACCCAATTCAATGGCATAGTGTTCATCCATAAAAAGGAATAAGGCACTGATATATGCTGTAACACAGATGAACCTTGAAAGCATGCTAAGTGAAAAAAGCTAATACGAAAGACTACAGTGTATGTTTCTACTCATGTAAATGAAAGTCCAACATTGGGAAATCTAGAGAGACAGAAAGTAGACTACCGGTTGTTTAGTGCTGAGAGGGTGGGGCAGTGCGTGATAGCTAGATTCTGGGTTTTTTTCTTGAGGTGATAAAAAGATTGACTGTGGTAATGATTTGCACAACTCTGTGAATATACTGAAAACCACCAAACTATACACTTTAAATGGATGACTCATATGGTATGTGACCTATAACTCAATAAAGCTTTTTTGTTTTTTTTAAAGATTTTATTTATTTATTTGACAGAGAGAGAGACAGCGAGAGAGGGAACACAAGCAGGAGAAGTGGGAGAGGGAGAAGCAGGCTTCCCGCTGAGCAGGAAGCCTGATGCAGGGCTCTATCCCAGGACCCGGGGATCATGACCTGAGCCGAAGGTAGACGCTTAACCACTGAGCCACTCAGACGCCCCTCAATAAAGCTATTCTTAAAAAGAAAAAAAAAAAGAACCTTAACAATTACTACAAATAGAACCAATGCTATCCACTGAACAATGCTTAATCACTTGGAAATTATTTAATACACAGTAACAGAAGCAAATCCAGAATGAAATGCTCTTCTTTGGCTCCTCATTTCAATGAATCAATGCCGTGACTGTGATGACTGCTAATTCCTGCTTCGAAAATTTTCCAGACCAAAATTATCTTAGCCATATGCAACACCATGGAACTTTGACCTCTAAATATTCATGTGCTAGAGCATCCATTGCCACACTACGGTAAAGTCTTATTTCCTACTTTCTATTCAGAATGAGTAGTCTTTTCAATTCTCATTAAAAAAAAAAAAAAGACATTAGCTGATTTTAAGATTTATGAATTCATTCATGCCCAAATCCAGGTAAGAAACCTTATAAATACACCAAAGAGGAGGATCTGGAGTCCATTTATCACTCAAAACTCCCTAATACGTAGATGAAGACTACCAGAAAACTGGTATTCAGATCACTCTATTGTCCCTTTACAGAACTGTTTTTCACTAAGCTGTACACTTTGGCATCATGTCCTTTGCTTACACGGAGATTTACCAAGAAACAAGTTGAGTAAACTAGCAATATACTAATAATATTAATTTATTAATAATATTACGCCTCTCATTATTTCATATTAAAAGTAATCAATCTCAAAGCAAAAAAGGAAAAGTGTAGCGGGATTAGCAGTTCTTAAAATTGAGTTATAGAAATATATGTGGAACTTACATAAACAATTACATATTCACAGAATGCTCCCAAATTTTTACTTTTAACAATATGAATTAAAGGAATTAAATTTCCTTTAAAAAAAATATTTAAAATTCTACTTACTATTAACAAAGAGGTAAGATGATCCTAGTTCTCAATCATTCAAATTGTAACAAAAACTTCAAGATGAAGCAACAGAAATATAAGCAAGATTAGTAACAGAGGCAGCCCAGCTTACAAATGGCTGAGAACCAAAAGATCTTCAGAAAATCAATTGTTCGGAACTTAGAATCTATATTTTCCCAAAGAAACAATGCTATCTGTGAATCTTAGATTCTTAAACTCAGGTACACTAATATACTAGTCATGTGACTGAGGGAAACAACTTCTCTTTTCAGATTTCAGATCCTTTCCTATAAAACGATACAAGTATTATCCTATTTAAAATTAAAAGCAGGGGCGCCTGGCTGGCTCAGTCGTTAAGCATCTGCCTTCGGCTCAGGTCATGATCCCAGGGTCCCGGGACCGAGCCCCGCATCAGGCTCCCCGCTCCGTGGGAAGCCTGCTTCTCCCTCTCCCATTCCCCCTGCTTGTGTTCCCTCTCTCTCGCTGTGTATCTCTGTCAAATAAGTAAATAAAAATCTTAAAAAAAAAAAAAGCTGTATTTAAAAAAATAAAATTAAAAAATTAAAAGCAAAAAATGTTCTACAAAATGTTAAGCAATATATAAATATAAGGTATTTCCCTATTATTTAATCCTTAACATAACAAATTGATCGATCATGCCTAGTCCTGATCTCCTTTCTGAAGCTTCAGCTTTACTAAGTGTCTGAGACAAGGGGAGTGTTATGTTGCAAGCAGTTCAGTGATTTTAAAATATTCCCTCTGACATTTAAAGGCCTCATTCATTTAATATACATTTTGTTAAGTAGTATTAAGAATATTATATAAAACTAAATACGTAATATGTAATATAAATATTCTGACATTATTACACTATACCTTAAATGTATCTATTTAAGCCAATATAAAGCCAGGAAATAATGATAACAGTAGCAATCACAATCATCATCATCATAAACAGAAACATCTGAACCCTTACTAAGTTCCAGACACAGTTGTTTTAAGTGCTTTAATGTATTCTTTCTTTCAATTAATCTTAATAACAACCACGTGAAAAGCTACTGTTACCACCATTTTACGTAAGAAACACAGATATAAAATAATTTTTGCAAGAACACAGAAGTCTCAGTTTCTAAATCAAAACTAAAGAGCAAAGCAGGCTAGGAGTACTGATTTAAGATTGGAAATGTTCCTATAATCCATTAAAAAAAATTGGATGCCATTTAAAGCAATTGAAAAACATTAAGAAAAACTCGAACCCTGATTTATCTTATTAAGAATCAATAAAAGACATAAGTGGTTTTATGCTTGCATTTGTTTAACCTCCACAATGAAAACTAAGACTTTTAAAGTAATCTAGGACGTTAAGAAAAAGAATAGTCTTGAAGATACTTATCTTTTCAAGTGAATGTCAATAAATTTTCTAAATACAGCTAAGACTTTTAGTAGCTAATATAATTAACTATAACAATTATAATAAAAACAAATGCAGCAGCTAACATTTATATAGTGTTTATCATGTGGCAGGCACTATTCTCATTCAGTGTAATAATTCATCTAACACTAACAACCTAATTGACTGATACGGAAAATAACAAAGAAAGATGTAATAAAGAAACTTGCCCACGTTCACACAGCTAGTTAAGTAGTGGAACGGGACTCCAATCCAGGCAGTAGAGTCTGGTTTCAGAGTCTGTTCCTCACTAATAAGCTATATGAAAAATTAGAGAAAGATCTGTAGACAAATTTTTTATGAAGACAATATAGGGGAAAAAAATCAATCTGTGCTCTTATTAAGTCATAATCATTTAATCCAGAACTTTTCTATAGGATGCAGATATGTGATTCTGTACCTCTGGTAAGTGTTCTTTTGTCTAGCAACAGAATAAAAAAATACATTATCAATCAGCATTTAAAATGAGACTCAGTAAACAGTTCACAGAAAGTGAGGAAGTTGGGGCGCCTGGGTGGCTCAGTCGTTAAGCGTCTGCCTTTGGCTCAGGTCATGATCCCAGGGTCCTGGGATCGGGCCCCATATTGGGCTCCCCTGCTCAGCGGGAAGCCTGTTTCTCCCTCTCCCACTCCCCCTGCTTGTGTTCCTGCTCTCGCCATCTCTTTCTCTGTCAAATAAATAAAATCTTAAAAAAAAAAAAAAAGCGAGGAAGTATGTAATATATGCATTTTAGAGAATATTTTTACTTTATTCTTTCTCTGAATATTTTATAAAATGCTTATTACTGTGTAGAAATATTTTAAAATGACACTTTTTCATGTAATATATCACATGATATATACATTTATAAATACTTAAATGGAAATTTTCACTAAAAGATTCTCTTAGATTCAAGTTACCTAACATCAGAGTTGTGCACATGATTTAATTAGCTGTTCAGCCAATAATGCAATAACCTGAAATTTGAAAGATGAACAATATGAATTGCATGAAACCTAAAAATCATGCCTTCTGAGATTTATACTGTTTTTTTACTAAAACTACTATGTTTATAACACTAATAAGCCATTTCAAAACCGTAAGTGCTATCAATCCAAAGGAAAATTAAGAGTAGCTTATGTAGATCATGAATCTGCAAACTCATTATACTAAGCATGAAAATAAAGTCCCAAAATTTGTCTAAAAGATTGTTAGTAATACATCTTCACAAGACAGTCTGCCAATTTAATAATCACCCATCACTAAAAGCAAAATATTTAGAAGCCATATTAAAGAAAAACTTAACAATCATTACTCTACCACTGCTTTGTGTACATGCAGAGAAAAGTGAGATGAATCGGTATAATGTTAAGAAAGGATGCAGTTTTTGATCCTTTCACCAAGTCATCCGCACTAATTTAGTCAAATTTATACTTAAGTTGATACTTGCGTTTTTTAAGTAAATAAATAAGTAAATAGGTTTCCAAGTCTTTGAAATACAGTATAATGATTTTACATAAGACCACAAAGCCTTCCTCATAATTTTGAAGTCCACAAAGATTGAAAACATTGAGTTTTTGCTACTTGGTGTGAATAATCATTCATTTTCCTGCAGATATTATTAGTGTGTTTTATTACAGGATGCCTCAGATCCATCTGAGCTTATTAACTACATTCATTACTTTTCTAAAATCTAAAAACCATGTGGCCCCAAGGATTTTGAAAGAAACTGTGTATATACATTCCAAATTAGGATGTTACCTGATATTCAGAATCCAGTCTAAATGAAGACTCTCTTGAGTGATAGGTATCATTTAAACTATTTCCTCTACTTCCAGACATCATCCTAGCACTTAAAGAGCTGGGGGGTTGAACAGAAATTCTTCTTGGAATCCTTGAAGGTTTAGACTCCATTCTTGAGGTTTCCTGTGAAATGCAAATGTTGATTAATTGCCTTTGGGAAAACATGCAAACCTTCGATTCTTAATCCTCCTTAATCATCAGCTCAAATCAAGAATTAACCATGCAAATTAACTATATCTGACATTGTGAATTATGAGACTATCAACACCCCTCTTCTCTAAGGCAGAAGTCTAAAGTCCATCAAAGGCTTCCTACTGCCGATAGAATGAAGCAAACTGATAAAAGAGGGATGAGGAACTGAGGTTGTTTCCAAAGCCTGGGCTTTTTTCCTTACTCAATTTTGTCTCTATGGAATCCAACACAAATTTGTTCTTGGCTGTCTTGCTATTCTTATTAGTAATGTTTAATACTCAAACCATGAGCATTAGCTATACTGTACTATTTGCACCCCCCTTATCACAATATTCCCTCACAGGACTTTGTACGTACCTGGAAACTCTATACATTCCCCATTCATTTCCTTGTCATGGTATGAAATCAACCATTTTTCTTTGTGTGCTTCTACTCTGTATATACTTTTAAGACACACTACCTTATGCTATAATTTGTTTTCCTATCTCCCTTTCTCAAAAGTGAGAATAATTTCTAACTTTTCTTTACTAAACATTCCTCAACCTACACCAAGAGTCACAATAGCTATGTGTGATCTTTTAATTATACAGGTATCTCCCCACTTTTCAAAAGTCCACATTATGCCACATCACTTTTATGAAAGACCTATATATAGTCCCTGCTTTCGCTAACCAAAAGAAATCCAAAGACAATTTTTTGGTCTTATAAAAAGGCAACGAAAAGTGAAAAAACAGCATTCAGCATTTGTTTTGCAGCATTATAGAGGCAGTGTGTACCCTAAGTAGCAAGTGACAACACCAACCTCCTTCCCCGGGAGCTACACTTGTCATCTCAGCATCAAGCTACCATAACTTTAAACTCTGTCTACAAGCTTCTGTGCTTTATCTCAATGTATACTGTGTATCCATTAGCAAGATGTGGTGTATGGTAACAGAAAAGTCTGAGAGAGGTTATTTTTTGGGTCTGGGAACACTCAAAAGCTTTCCCATATAAACTAATGGTAATTGCTTCTTCACTTTTCACCATTCCAACTTACAAAAGGATTCACAGAAATGCTCTACTTTTGGACAGAGGTGGACACCTGTGTGTATATGAATGGAATGATACAATATGTATTCTTTTATGTCTGGTTTTATTTGCTCAACACTGTATTTGTGAGATTCATTTATATTGTAGCATGCAGCTGTAGTTAGTTCACTCTAATTAGTTTATATAGTGTTTCATTGTATCAATACACATAAATTTGTCCATTGTATTGCAGATGGACACTCAACTATTTCCAGTTTTAGGCTATTACAAATTGTGCTGCTATAAAGACACTACTTTTATAAATCAAAAAAACTTTAAATCACAATAATCTCTTCAACTTCTCCCCACCCACTTTCAAGGTGAAAACTTCCCTTCTTGTTCTGGTAGTGGATTGACATTAAACCAATTACAAACAGATGCACTTCACTTATCTGATATGCCACTTAGGTAAGGTATATTTGCTTTATTAAAACATTCAAATTTAGGGGCATCTGGGTGGCTCAGTCATTTAGGCGTCTGACTTGATTTCAGCTCAGGTCATGATCTCAGGATTGTGAGATGGAGCCCTGCTTCAGGCCCTGCATTGGGCATGGAGCCTACTTGAGATTTTCTCTCTCTCTCCCTCTCCCTCTGTCCCCTCCCACCCCACCCTCCACCCCTGCCCCCCCAAAAAGGAAAAGGAAAAGATAAAAAAAAAAATTCAAATTTAAACATTTAAGGTGAAAATACCTAATCTATTTTTGGCACGTAACCTCATTAACTTGCCAACTTCGGATCAATCACCACTTTCTACCTTAAGTTACTACAAAAGAATTTCCTTTGTTGATAATATTTACTTTAAAAACATGGTATCAGGCAATAAAAGAGAATGAAGAGAGGAAAAAACACCAAAACATATGGTCTATATTGCAGCAGAGGATATACAACAAACATGAAAAAGATGTAACACAAACTCATTCTCAATTAAAATTATTCCACTAAAAATATCCAACTAATGACAAACCACAGTAAAAGTCACAGAGATATGATTAAATAAAAGAAAGCTTATCAAAAAAGGCTGGTTTTGAACTTCCAGTTAAAACATGACAGATTATCCTTATGCATCTATTTTGCCCCTCTTTCCAAAACCCTGATAAGATGACAAATGAGGGGCGCCTGGGTGGCTCAGTCCTTAAGCGTCTGCCTTCGGCTCACCCTGCATCAGCTCCCTGCTACGTGGGAAGCCTGCTTCTCCCTCTCCCGCTCCCCCTGCTTGTGTTCCCTCTCTTGCTGAGTATCTCTGTCAAATAAATAAATAAAATCTTAAAAAAAAAAAAAAAAGACAACAGTAAATTAATCCAAAGGGGCCACAGAAGGCAACAGATTTCAATGTGTATTTGGAAAATCCAAAGGAGGAGTAAAGGCACAATAATTAAGCAGAGAAGATAAAACTACACCCTAGGCCCTTAGAAAGAGGTAGAAACTAGAAGCTTTAGCATATGAAAAAGAACCATGACCTGAAGGTACAAGATACCATAAAAGAGAAGATGCGTGGCTTAAAATCAAATCTGTAGTTGAAGCAGTAAAACCCCAAATTCTTCCCCTAGCTTCATTCTTACAAAAGTATTTATTCTCTCAACAATAAGGATTTCAGAGGCAATCCATCCCACCCAAGTATACAATCAAATCTGCAGGGTTAAGTATAAAAAATAAAACCTATATGCTCAATGCTGAGACCTGAGAACTTTTTCCCAGTCCTATTTCTACAATGTTGCCATAAAATTAAGGGATTTTACTCTTGGATCACCAAACAAAACACCAGAGATAAGATTTCTGATACTGACATTTGGACTGCTCCCAATTACCAAGCTAATCTGCTGAACATCCTACCCCACAGCAAAGTCCACTAGTCATCAAGAGTTTTCTAATCAGTTTTTTTAGTGTTTCCTTCAAACAGATAAACATTAAGAATTACTAAGTATCCAATGAAACCCTCTGATATGAAAGACCAGGATAACCCCCCCCCAAAAAAGGAACTTAAAAGAAAATTTGGGGGAAATAGCTAACTACTACTCTCAAAGAGATCAAAAGACATCCATTCATAAACAGGGAAACTGGAGTATAATAAAGAATTTGTGGACATTCAAAATGGGATACACTTTTTAAAAACTGTGATACAATGAAATGAATAATTCAACATAATTATTGGGAATAAATTGAGGAAACCTCTCAGAAATAGAAACTACAACTTTAAAATAGAATTAACCAAGGGAATTATCATCTTACTTTAGCTATGATTAATAAAGAGAGAAGAAAGAAAATGGAAAGAAAACTACCAAAGAAATAAAAGAACCTTTCTAGAACTGAAGGATACAAATCTCCACATTGAAAGGGCTTTAGAGTACCCAGCAGGATCAAAGAAAAAAAGACCAACACTAAGCACAATTTATCATATTGAAATTTTAGAACACCAAAAATGAAGAGAAGATCCTGTACTGGCTTCTTAATTACAACTTTAAAAAATCTTAAGACAATGAAGCAATGCCTGTAGTACTGAGAAAAATGCTTACCCTTGAATTCCAATCTAGCAATTAAATGTGAGGTGGAGAATAGGGACCCGTTTTCAGACATGCAAGATCTTTTGAAAAGATCAAAAAACAAGACAAATATCAAAGGAAGATAAATGAAGAGTATGTCCAATGAAAATGAGAGTGTAAAGAATGAAAGAAACAGACATGGAACCCAGGAAACTGTTAAAAAAGGAAAGTTTAGACACAGAACCCAAGAAATAGTTCCAAAGGTATGTAGGAAGCATAGGATCCAGACCAGAGCAGGATTGCAGATAATGGAAGCAAAGTTCAAAGGGGAGGAGGTGGGGCATATGGAAACTATTTTGGCATATATGGCACAGACCATGATACAACTGGGTAAGAAAAATTGCTAAGTACAAAGAACAAACGGCAATTAAATTTCCTCCATTATCAGTTATTGTTCAAGAAAGGGGGTGTTTCGGGGTGCCTGGGTGGCTCAGTCCTTAAGCCTCTGCTTTCAGCTCAGGTCATGATCCCAGGGTCCTGGGATCGAGCCCCGCATCGGGCTCCCTGCTCAGCGGGAGCCTGTTTTGCTTCTCCCTCTCCCACTCCCCCTACTTGTGTTCCCTCTCTCGCTGTGTATCTGTCAAATAAATAAATAAAATCTTAAAAAAAAAAGGGGGGGGGAGGAGTGTTTGGGTGAAACTTGGGTGAATATTAATTATTTATAATAATGTAAACATAAGGTATTGAATCAACAATTTTGCTACAAACATGTATGGGATGGAGGTGACTGGGGAAGTGAAGACAAGGGTGAATAAGGAAAATACATAGGAAAAATCACTGAACAGTATAAACATTCTTCAGGAATGTGAAGGTAGGGGGCGCCTGGGTGGCTCAGTCGTTAAGCATCTGCCTTCGGCTCAGGTCATGATCCCAGGGTCCTGGGATCGAGCCCCGTATCAGGCTCCCTGCTCAGCGGGAAGCCTGCTTCTCCCTCTCCCACTCCCACTCCCCCTGCTTGTGTTCCCTCTCTCGCTGTGTCTCTGTCAAAAAAATAAAATCTTTAAAAAAAAAAAAAAAGTGAAGGTAAATCCCAGAACAGCTAAAAAGTTGAGGGTAACTGCCTTTGGAAAGAGACTGGAAATGAAGGGTGGGGCAAAGTACTCCTCTTTTCCTTTTTAAAATAGGATGACCATATTTCCTGGTTTGTCTAGAATCTCCAGAAAAGTCGTAATTCCTGCTCATTATCCCAGGACAATTATTAATAGTCCTTGGGTTGTCTCTTAAAAGTGGCCTGGTTTGGATGATAAAGCATACAGTTGCCTAACATAAATCTTTTCTACCTTCTAGCTTTTTTTTTTTTTTTAAGATTTATTTATTTTAGAGAAA